ACATTATCATCTTTACAAGTTCTCCATACGTTTCATCGTAATTATCTTCTATTTCTGTAATGCCTAAGGTTTTGTTAACTTTTCTAATGAGACAGAAATGTGATTTATGTAAGTAAAATACCCAATCTAATTCCTCGGATACTTTCTTTGGTTGAAAATGTTTGGGCATATAAATTTGAAAATAAGTATTAAATTTCTTATTGAATTCACAGATTCTAGCAGTTGTCATAACTCCTTTTCTGTTTGATTTTGAAAAACTGTTGATGAAATCTTGAAATTCTTTTGTGTAGTCTTCGTTTAAAACACGATTTACGCACTTTACCTGTTGAAACGTATCTTTATTTTCACCTGCAATGTTATCTATTAATTGTTGAATGTCTAATTTTTGTTTTGTAATCTTATCATCTAATTTAGATATTAATGAAATTAAATTTTGTAACTCAGTTTTGTTCACTACGTTGACCAATTGTTTTTGAATAAAACTTATTAAATCTGCTACCTCTTGTTGTAGTTTAGTATCATTAATAAAATTTTTATTATTTAGTTAACATTTGAAGAATCTTTTCACATTACTTATTTTATCTTCTAAATGGTTTTTATTTACTTCAATTGAATTTATTTGTTCCCGTAAATATTTCTTGTGAACAGCGTCATTATCGTTTTCCGGAGACTTTAAATTAGTTACTTTGAAATTGTTCATATCTAAATCACCTTGAAGAGTGTCCCCGATTTGATCCACAAAGTAAGGTTTCGCTTTATTTATCCACACTGTAGTGTTAGGTTTTTTATTTTCTAAAGATAAAGAGCCTAATCCAAACTTGTTCGCCATTTTTATTGAGTTAAATTTATTATAATTTCTTCAAACTATTTTCCTGAACTCAACTCTTTGTACAAAGCAGAATGATGAACTCCTTTTTGATCGGAAGTATGTATATTTGTTATAGCGTAAAATTTACCTTTCTTATATTTCAGATCATTTATTTCATCTCTCATACAATAATAAAACGGTGATATATTTAACTCATTCGCCTATCTCATAAGTTGAAAGTTTGTGGTTGTATCGGTTCCATATTTATCGAGAAAGATATTCATTTTTTAAAGTCAGTTTTTTGTAGTTCGTTTTGATAAAACCTACCTATGATTTCTTCTTTGTCTTGATCGATTAATTCATATGTCAGAGGTGATGTGGTGTTTACTTTATCAACGATGAATATTTCGTTTGTCCAGTATCCAAAGTAACCTTTTTCGAATTTGCTTTTATATTTGAAAATACGAACTCGATCTCGGACTTTAAATTTGGATTTGATATTTAAATTCTTTATTTCATTTTCGTAGTTATGTTGTGCGTTAATTGACTTTATAATATTTGGATTATTTGAGGCTTGTGTTGGTGTGACACCTATAGATGAATGAATTTTGTTATTGTATTCATCTAATGGCTTAATATTTTAAGCCATTTTTGAGATTCCAATTCCGTGAACTTTTTGAATAATTTATTTTTTAGAGTCCTGTTAAATCTTTCTATTACTACAGCTTTACCTTCATTATGCTGTAACTTTCAAATCCTAGAGATTTCATATTTTTTTTATAAAATTCACTTCCTTTATCTATCCACAGTTTTTCTGGATGTCGGCTAGATTGTTTCATAATCGTTTCAAATGCGTGTTTGACTGATAATCCTGTTTTGTTTTTCAAAGGAATAACCCAAGCATATCTCGTATACAAATCTATAACTGTTAAGCAATATTTATATCCTCTTTTGACTAGCATATTAATTATATCGACTGACCATATTTCATCTTTTTCAAACACTTTTAAAAAGTTTTTATTTTTTCTAAATTCTTTATGAATTTCATCCGCTAATCCCATGCCTAATTTCATCTTTGCTTTTAACAGTTTTATGATTAGAGCTCTTTGCATTCTCTCTTTGAAAGTTGGATTTGGAATATTTTCAAGTTCGATTATCATTTGTCTGTCTGCTTCGTGTCTGAGTTTATTTAAGCGCAACCGCGTCAACTCTATGGACTGGTTCTTCACCGGATTTGGGTTTATCGTTTTCGTCTAGTCACAGATCTGACCTGGTGACGGTGTAATTATGACCGGGAAGATGTTTTTCACCAGGATATTTTGCCCATGGAAATCCAGGAAGAGAACCCAATGATTTTTGTATATCTGAACCAAAATAAGTTTTTGGAGTGTGAGCTTTTAAAACCTTTTGCTTTCCTTTCTTCTAATCTCCTGTTTCGCAGATCTCTTATTAGTTGTAATTCTTTCAACTCGTTAGAATGTTTCACTGTGTCGCTTATACTCTTTCCGGCTTCCGCGAATGAGCCGACAGCTTTCGTTCCAGATGAAATAAGTGATTTGTTGTTTGAAACAAAGCTAGCTACTTTTGGAATTATTGTTTTACCTAGAGAAAATATTGATGAAAAGATACCGTCGCCCGAATAATCTTCGAATCTGTGTTGTTCGTGTTTTTTAGAATTAAACTCATCCTATTTTTAAATGACTTAATTCAACGAAGAAATTGTGGTCTGTTTTTTTTTCTAACAAAATAGTTATCTCCCTTCTAGAAGTTTCAAGACTAAAAATAACATTATTTAAAACGAGGCTAATAAAAAACCGGATGTTATGTTATTTTATATAAGGGTTTTTTTAATATGCTTTTTTGATGGAATGTAGGAATTGATTGAAGGTGTTTTGGTGTAGGAATTTATGAAATGTAGGGTGTTTAGGTATTTTTTGGATGAAAGAATTTATGACATTTAGGGTGTTTAGGTTTTTTTGGGGAGGGAATTGATGGAATGTAGGGTGTTTAGGTCTTTTTTTGGGACCTTTCAATTTGGTCGCACTTTCCCCATGAAATGAAATGGAATGGGGAATCCCCGTGCGACCAAATTGAAAACGTTAGGCCCTGTGAAAATTTTATGAAAAATAAACCCCAAAAATCGGAAGAATTGGGTATCCCGTAGGTAGAACTGTAGACAACATGCAAAAGCGGTAGAAACCTAACAACATTGGTAGATTACACATGTATGATAGAGGTGGTGTCCAGATCCCCCACTGTCCGAACTATCCCCTACCATTTCACTTCGAAGTTAAAAATCCTGATTTTCAAATCCCCATAGAACCGAAAGTTAATGATACTCAACAAAAGTGAAGATATCATCGAATAGATCTCATCAGGGGCAACAACTTTTGTGCAGGTCACCAAAGGTCAATGTCACTAGTTATGATCCTTAACAGCTTTGACAATTACTGAAAATGCAAAGCCAAAATTCAAAAATCGGCTTCCCAAGTTTTTATTGTAGATTCTATAGACACTAAAATCACACACATCGGCTTTACCCCTGAGGCCCCATTTTGAGTTTTACAAAAATTGGTCATATCAAGATGGCGTCTGACCCTATACCTCTGGGTCAAATTTTTATTCCAAAAATCTTTATGGGGAAAATTCTAATTAATTGCTGAAAGAATTTTTCAAATATCTACAAAATTCTGGAAGTTGGTTTCAAGTTTAGAGGCGAATAAAAAACCTGGAGTGATATCAATAGTTTGAAAACAGATTTTTGATCGCAATCAAAATGTCTATCTACATGTAAATTTTCAGATCAATAGAAAAAAAATGGTAGAATCATTGTTAAAATCAAAATCTGAAAGTTCTTAAATTGCTGTCTTTTAGATTGTTCAAATCAATGAACAGAACAAAAATTACTGTTATGTTCTAAATTAGCTTTCAAACTTTAACTGTCATAAATATTTGGTGTGACTGGATGTAAGAGTCAATGTAACCTAATTTAGTATAGTTAAAACTTGTTAATCAGGACTGTGACCTGATTGAGCATTATGGGTTGGGAAAAGCGTGCATAGTGAATGTTGCATGGATGTTGCCGTCTCTGACTTGGCGGTCAGCATATCGGTTTTTACCATATTTGTCATAAACATATTATTGTATCATTGTGAATCGTGTAATATTGTTACTGTGAACCTTCGTGATCATGTGAGCTTTGTACTTATATAGTGTCAATTGTTATTTTGTGAGCCTTTCCATGTTAAACTGGATTCGTGAATATATAGTGAACGGGAATAATTGAGTGTGAAATTGGATTCTCTTATCTGAACAATATACAATTCATTTTCATAGAACATTCTTAATTATTTGGGTAAAAATNGGATAATTCGCAAGACTCCCATCAAAGTTGTCTCCAATGGCGCCAATGTATGACCTTGAACTGAACATCTCAG